CAATAATATTAGAAGAAAAGATAGTTTACACAGAGACTATATTTGTAGGGGTCACTAAGACAGACATATTCTTAGCTATCTACCCATTCAGTACAAAGTAAGCCTGATTGAATTACCTTATCAAGAGAGTGCAAAGAATAGAATATATGTCTTGGAACATAGTTTTCATACATAAAAAGGTAAATGGATGAAATGAAGAGAAATAAACCATTGAAAAGAAACTGCTATTCACTGCAAACGTAGCCAATCAAAGAAATTTTATACTAGAGGCTGGTTACAGTTAATTTCAAGAATTTTCTACAATACGGATAACAGTGGAATCTAGGATGCGCATTTCGTCCTATTTGGGACTGGTCAGCTGGATGTACCTGCCTCCCAGTGCGGAGTGATGTTGTTCCCACCGGGACTCGGGAGCGGTCGCTTCAAACGCTACAGCGTTATCTACTCTACACCACCGAGCCACGATAGCCACTTCTTTCGCGATGGGTATAGTTTTAATGTTATTGCTTGTATGACACCGTGGCTGATTGGACCGAATTGATCAGTCTCTGTTGGCATATGGGCTCCTGTGAGGATGCCTTGATGTTGCCTGTGTTTTAGTTAAGTATAGTAATGATGGGCAATCAACTGTTGTTAGCTCAAATGTGTACTCATATACAGAAAGTTATACAGCAAGTATACTACTAGACTCGATATTGGTGACTTAGTGGATAAGAAGTTAGTTGGTTGAAGGCAATGGACAGGAAGTCCTGCCTCACCTAGGTTTTGTGCTTTTTGAAACTCATCACCAAGGTGTATCTGCAACCTCGACGCAACTGATGTCCCGCCTGACATTCGAACCCATGTCACCCAGTGTTGTAGTCAGCGACTTTACCACTGATCTATTCGGACCACGATTGACCTCCTGTAGGACTGGCTTACATATGTTGACTGATCAATCGCGGTCTGAATAGATCAGTGGTAAAGTCGCTGACTACAACACTGGGTGACACGGGTTCGAATGTCAGGCGGGACATCAGTTCCGTCGAAATCTAGGTGAGGCAGGGCTTCCTACCGATTGCCTCTACTAATGTGCACCGCAATGCTGAGCTTCCTAGGATTCGATCTCCACTCAGGACTAGACAACATGAAATTGGTTGCACTCCTGTGATCAATCAGTACATATTAGTAGACAAGAGAAATGCTTTGAAGATTATGTATCGTGTATACCAACTAATCTTTCAAAATGTTTTTGAACTCGTCTTTCCCAACACATACCAGAAACTGTGTAAAGAATTCCAGGTAGTAACCATAGCCTTTGTATTCACAAGAAGTCTGTGTATCCTTTATGCCAGTCAGTCAGTCAAGTCAATCAAGTCATCGATTGATACTTTCATACTCTGACAGGCTGTGGAATACAGCGATACTGACTGATGGCTGACATTTGTCACATACATCTTGGCCTCAAAGTCATATTTGACTCAATCGACTACGGGGTGTTGCAGTAGTCACTAACACAGGACTGGGGGATGACTGTGTAGTGGTCCAAGTTGCCACACCATATCCTATCTCATATCAGCACATCAAGTAACTAGGCAATAAAAAGGAAGATGAGGAAGTCATGCGAAAATGTTGAGATTAAGTATAGCGGTTAACATCTGCACCACTGACATCGGTTCTTGACTATACTATCACCTAGAATCTCCAACCACTGATGGTTTCTCTTCTCCGATGGAACCCAACCGGCTAGTCTGTATCGCCGCACATGGCTCAAGGACTTCATGAGTTGATGAAATGTTTTAGTCTAGTTACTTCTCACCTTTTGCCAGCCTGAACCAAATTCGGCCAACATCATGCAACGAAGTAGATGATGGCTAGGCATCCGTAACACACATCCAAGCTAGTCATCTCAGTCGATAAAGGTTCACAACCACATCATCTGACTTACCTCTCCTGCCTAAAACTCTACACCTGACCTCTGAGTTACTCACGTGGTGACACCACGAGACATGGCCCCTGTCATGAAGGCAACAGACTGCAACACAGTACACTCGAGCCTTAATAGACAGTCGGATATCGCTGAGGAACTACAGATGGCGTAAGTTGGCATAAGTCAACCAAGTCAACACACTTTACCACTTCGCTCTTTATTGTTAGTCGGGGTACCGTAGAAGAGCAGTTGTGGAGTAACAATTTGTATTTGGGTGGCGAGAAACGCATCTTATCTGAGTCTTCACCTTTTCCTGTGATCAGGTCAGTCTCTATGTAGTCAGATGTCGAGTAGGAGACCTCCATAAGAACATCTATGAATGAAGAGAGTCGACATCCTTGATGGACACTACTCGACATACACAACTCACACGATATGCCACCGTACGCTCCAATACGTCCACAGGTATTCGAGTGAAGAGCCTTCAATAGAGTGATGTACCTGTTCAGTGGAGAGATACTGCCATAAGACTTCTCGGTCAACGGAGTCAAATGCCGCCTTCAGGTCGAGAAATACAGCTGTTGTCCGGTGTCGGCAAGCGTGCATGTATTCCAGAACCTGGTGGAGTGTGAATATTTGGTCGAAATGCTTGACTGTGAAGGGAGTACAGAGTAAGTGTATATAACTCTCTACTCAAACTTATGCAGCCATGTAAAGGCTTATACAGAGTTCTCATAAAAATTGACGTCAACTAGTGGTATCCGCTAACAATGCCACTGACAACCTCCACCTATTTAACTTCGTCTAACTTCACGGGAATTGGCCTACTCCCTGGAAGTCATCTAGTTGACTTGAAGTATGCCACGTGGAGACGCTAACGAAATACAAGGACTTACTTCGCGAGTTGCATCAGTCTAAACGGGATAGCTGAGGAACAAATCTCAGCGCGGATACATAAGGCCGGTATGGCACTTGCCAAGTTACTTCATCTCTGACACGGACTGGCTAGATATGCGATTATCCATCACGGGATGACGCTCCAGTCCGTTATATCCTGCTATACAGCTGTGAGACACGGTCATTGGAAGTAGAAGACATGAAATGATCAAACGATTTTGATGCTGGGTGTCTTCGTAGCATTGCTCACGTTTGATGGTATCACTGTGTGAGCAACGTCGAGATTAGGTAAAGGTGTAACTAGGCAAGACAGGCAAGTCGATTGATGAGGTTGAGAACATTAGTCGACTGAAATGGCTTGAACACATACTGAGCATACCAACCTATCGCCACCTAACTCGACGTGAGATATCAGCAGAAGTTGGTTTAAGTTGGAAGAAGGTTCAGTTCAGACGTGGAACCGGTTCATGACTGTTGGAATGGGTTATATGCGGAGATGTAGACTACTTGGTAATGGTCCCCGAGACGATAAGAACCATTGGTTAAGGACACTTGATGGTATGCCTGAAAATCGATCACTCCTTACACTACAGTGAAATGTAGCAACTTTCATCTGTATACAAAATTCTACACTGTGACTTTGTTTGTCATAGTTACAGGTCCAACTACTGAGCATGGAGAATCAATAAATCATAATGTATAATTATTACATTTTACCTTCAGACTTCTCAGTAAAGTAATTGGATTACTCATCTGTTAAACATAAGTGTACAAGACAGTCTGATGGCATTCTTAAGTTTGTGGTGATGGATAGAGAGCAGTGGAAGGAGCACATAACCCACAAGCAAGTAAGGTATATTGAATTTTGAGGGAGTTGTGGAGATTTGGAAATATTTCAAGTTGTTATTCATCGTAGACTGATATCAGTTGGAGAGGAACAAAAGAAACCTGGGAGCACTGGACAGCTGTTTCGTTCGACTAGTATAGGACTCCTCAGCAATGCATACCCACGACCCCGCACCACCGGCGATCGAACCCACCACCTTCAGGTCCTGTGGCCAGCAACGTTACCATCGAGCCACTGGGTTCATATTTCCAACTTCTGTTAGCTCACGATATAGCGCAACTGCCACACAATATCATCGTTGAGTAACTATCCTCACGACCATCAGGAATATGAAGACACCAGTTTAAAACACTTAAATATATCTAACGTTTCTTCAACATATCTTGAACGAATAATTATTTCTAAGGTCAAATAAACAAAATAAATAATATAGAATATGTTTTGAAAACAATTAAAAAACCATCATATTATTTAGGGTGTGGTTTTCGTTATTTTGTTTTCGCTTCAAAAAAACCTCCCACATAAATGGTTTGTTCATATTGATAAAATGAAGAACTTTTAGTTGTCAGCGGTTTACTAACTGATAAAATCTCGATATTGTTAGAATATTGATATAGGGAATGGTGGAGAATATTTATATCTCAGTTGGGTGATCTTTGAGACGGATTGTTTAATTAATCGTGGGAGCTTTCACCAACATCATCAGTAGCAAGTAACCTGTCAATTTCTCTCGATCAGTGACTCAATAGATTGACCAAACCAACTAGTTTGTGATTGGTTGTTTTACCTTTTGTCATACAGCGCTCAGATTTTCTGATTGGTAGATTTTCCTGCCTAACTTCTGATCTAGCAAGTATGTATCATCTTTCTTATTGGTTGATAGATTAGGTGTGTATGTCCATACATCGATTAATTTTTAACTGACCTGAAAATATCAAGGTCAAGAAATTGAATTCATGTCCACAGTTGTTATCCATGTGGATTTAATGTGATAGCCAGCTGATGTTCGTGTAAATGTGACCATTTCATTTGTCAATTGGCATTCACTGACTTGCATCATCTGTGGAGCTGACTGACGAGATATCCAACCACTTATTAAGGAACGGATACACTGCGCTACAGTTCATTCTATCCTGTCGATTAATGAAATTATCTGCTTTCATCGACTGAGGATGGCTGACTTGGACATGCCAAACCACTACTACAGACCTCGATATATCATGCTAGAGGAAGTTGGATGAAGTTCCTAAGCTTGTTAATGACATGGCTGAAAATCATTATAACTAATCAGTATAAAAAACTCTGAAAAACGCAACACAACACACACACACACCTATCTACACCTACCTGATGTACACTGTAAACACCATCTTGAAGTAATTTTTCACAACCACCATCAATCAGTTGACGACGCCATAATCGTATTAAATTATGCATAGTTGACAATGATGTAACCGGTCTCCATAGAGAACTTGTTTGTCTATTGAAAGTAATCCATGAAAAACAAAGAGATAAACACACTTATACAGTTAGGATTGTACAACGCCTAGAGTAAGGGAAAAGTCAATGGTGTATATTAGATATCTTCTTCTACCTCAGAAGAAAGTTATATATCAACATTATCAGATATCAGCTCCATCGTATCATGAACTCTCTCTACTCATCACTGACTAAACTTCTTGTCTGTCTGCACCGTTTTGAATTGCAAAACGGTGGTTTCTCCAAAGCAGATCTTAGATCTATCAGACTCAAGTATTCTAAAACCACATGTACCACTCTATTTGAGACAACAGTCTACAATATTCCAACCAAGATAAAGATAGGACAACAAACACATTGGACTAGGGTTCTGTAAGGTTTTCCTTCTGTTTTATGCTGTCTATCAGACTCATAAACAACATCTCAATGAAGTGTACCAAATAACCTCCCCCTCTGTGTCATTTCTTTGTGTGCTCACTCATCCTGTGAACCTATAGCATCGACATGTTATGACCTTAGACGTTAGTTACTTGGAAGGAATCAGAAAGAAGCTTGTTGCATACATGTCAGCAAAATGTATATCTGCAACCCCCAGGGAAATTGATGTTCTACCTGAGATTCGTACCCCCCCCCCATCACTTTGAGCTGCAATCAGAGACTTTCCCACTGACCTATTCAGGGAAAAACGGTCGATATTGAACCAAATCCCAAAGCCACATATTAGTCTTTTGTGATGCTAAGCTGGAAACTTCGACTGTAATGACAAGTAACTCGTAAAGGGAGTAACTGACAGCAGTAGTTATGCATACTCTGGCCTATCAGCTCACCAAACGTTAAACGTGACTTTAATACTTCACTACATAGCGTCGTCATCAGTGGAGCAATTCAAAATCTGCGCATAGATGTATTAAGGACAAAATGCTTTCAAAGTCTGAGATTCAGAAGAGTCAATTGCGAGAGGACGCCTCAAAAAAATGTTTACATTTTTAATAGATCAAGTAAAGCAGTGGAAACTAAGACGTGAGTCCCATCCCACACGGGAATGGCTCGTCAGTTAGAGGATGTATCTGTCCCCCTCCCAGTAAAGGATGATGTTACCACAATAAGACTTATGGTCAGGACCAGTCAGTTCAAACACCAGACAATTATCCCCAAGGCCATTGGGTCAGAACAATATCACACTAGAGACGGGCAGACAGGCAAGATCAGCGCCACTGTCGACAATAATCCTGAGGCGGTGATTCCTGTCGTGTCGACGACTCCATCCAGATAGTCTACATCTCCCCCACACGACAGACTAACACTTGGAGACTTCGTCAACGCGTGCCACGTCTTCATTTGGCCACCATGAACCATTTTCTAGCCTAATCTAGCTGCCACTGCGCCTCATGCTCGATGGAGTCGAATGTGAACCTTCATCGACTGAGATGACTGTCTCGGACATTTGTCACGCATGCCTAGCCACCGTCCACCTCATCGCACAATGTTGACCAAAGTAGGTTCAGGCTGGAAAAACGCTCGCAGCATGAAGTTCTTGAATGCTGGTCGGGCGATGCAGACTAGCCGGTTGGGGTCCACCGAAGAAACCACCAGTGGCTGAAGATTCTAGATGATAGTATGGTCGAGAACCGACATCAATGCCGCAGACGTATACACACATTGTCCTCATGTTAACCGCTATACTTAATCTCATCATTTTCTCATTCCCTCTTCACCTTCCATTCTATTGCCTAGTTACTTGATGAGCTATTATGAGATGAGGTGTGGTAACTTGGGCCGTTACTCAGTAATGCCTGGTCTTATGTTGATCTTGATGATGATGATAGCGAATGACAGTCGTGGAGTGATACTGTGATGAGTGGTACTGATAAGACCGGACATAAGTGGTATATGTCAAGAGGTCAGCGGAAGTCACTGGCAATTACCAGCGATGGGTAAATACTCTGCTCAGAAAAATGCAAGAGACTAAGTGAGCATATGAAGAGTAAACCGAGATAATGCCGCTGCTTCTGAACGTGATGAAGATTCCGTAGCCTGGAGTGTTCGAGGATGGAGATATCAGGGTCTTCCTTAGGAACTTCGAATCAGTCACGGAGCTGGTGGGATGTCAAGGATCCAGGAATGAAGGTGGTAGTGCTTGGCACGTTGTTGAGGTGTAAGTCAAAAGGGGCATGTGACGCGTCTATCTATAGAAGAATGCTGTCAAAAATTGTTTCTTGTAAAGCTGAGAAGAAGGCTTCCAAGGCGAAGTTGCTGAAGGTTGATAAGAAGAAGAAGAAGAACAAGAAGGAGAGAAAGGAAAGCTATACCATCTACATCTACAAGGTATTACACCGAGTACATCCCGAAACTGGTATATCTTCAAAGTCAATGCTAATTATGAACTCCTTCGTGAACGACATTTTCGAGCGTATTGCTGTTGAGGCAAGAAGTTAACAATCTCCAATTGCGAGGCGAACACTGTTGTACGATTCCTGCTACCGGCTGAATATTCCCATCGCTCGTATTGGCTATAACTTCTGCCGAGCACTCAATATATACTACTTATATCTATCCTTATCAGTAGCATTCACTACAATGGTAGTAGCAGTGGTAGTATCAGTAGATGGACAAATGACTGAAGACTTACGAAATATCCAGGCATGCAGTGCCTTGGTAATAATACTAACAAGAATAAAAGCACAAAATAAAGACACCGTGTAATGTGACAGAAGTAATAGATTAAGCAAACTCGTTATGTGTGTATACAAGCGTGTAAGTGTGTACGTGCATGTACGTACATGAATAACCTAAAACAGCTCCAAGATGTTTTTTTGTCAGATCGATAAGAAAAATGATACAGAGTACTGAAATGTCAACAAGAGGAATTGATGAGAAGATAAATCGAAACATAAAAAAAATACGCGAAATTTAACGAAAACTCTCACGGCCTCGAGTGAGATCACATGTGAACACAAGACGGCAGACTGTGGTATGAAAACTCAGTCGTTTACATACTTTTAGATGACCTTGGCCAGGGAGAACAAAATAGCAGATTAAAAGTATAAATGGACCAATCAGAGTTTAGTATCCTAAACTACGGTAAAATAGCATGGCGCTAAAATAGGGTTTAAAGTTTACAATGGTAATACGAACATAAGTTAGTTTGCCTTGGAGATTAAACAGCCTCAACAACAACAGCGAAGGGGCAGTATTCTCTACTGGATTCCAAACGTTTTGGCACACAATTTTACTGTTCATAGTTATATCAAGATGAATGCCATAGCTTTCAGATGTGGTTTATGTAGTTTCCATTTATTTCTTGCCTTCTTCTTTGTGATACTATAGATGGTAGGTGCCAAGTCATTCATCTCGCTGGACTTATTTGCTACTGATGGTTCGTGAAACAAAGGTTTATGAGTAGTGGCGCTAAAGGCCATCCCTAGCAAACTGCTAAAGTAACCAATCAGGTTTCGGTATTCCGGCTAGAAAGAACCGTGACTAGTTACCTTGGCAATTGGTATGGGACAGCCACAGATTTTCATAAAATAAAGAAATAGAGAAGCGTATTCGATCATTTCGATTGTTGCTAGGGTTGGCTTTAAAGACGCCAGTTATTCCGGTGTTTGCCAGAATCGACATTCGAGTCACTCAAATTCAGCTAAAAATCTTTCTCCCCTCTATTCAACCCTACTATATGGATATGTCCAATTGCTTTGCTTATGACATGATCTAGCAGGGTAGAGGGAGAGGTTGATGAGATTATAGCCGAGTTTTTGTTTCTACCCAACCAACAGTAACAGGATTGACTAAAGTACCCATTCCGGGTACTTGAATAATAGGCAAGACACAGTCAGAACTACATACACACCAACATCTTTAAGTTGAACGAGTCATCACAATATGAATTTGGAGAACATGCTCAAGGATGCCAGCTATTGATTTTCAAATCATCAGCATAAACGAGTTAATAGCATAACAAACTGCTCACTTATCTACGCCATGACGTCAGTCTATAAAATAGTTGTCCCGGTCAAATAATGACTACTGACTGATTTATCCTCAAAGAAACAACAGTATACACATGCATTCAAAGATAGTTGATAATGCGATCAGACTCGAACTAATCACGTCTAGCTTTTAGAAAGTGTAAATCATTCAAAAATGAATTACTAGGTCATGGTAATAGAAGAGTAGACCTTGTGAGATGAGACTCATCATCTCGATACAGTGATATCGATGTTTGTGTGTGTGTGTGTGTGTGCGTAGATTTTGTCAATCTCAAAGTGAAGTGACCAACCCACTCTACGCCAACGCGGATCAATCGTGGAGCAACAATCTCTGATTTCTTTGCTTTGACTTACGCTCTAACCAACGATAAAAAAACACATAAACAACTATGAACCGGTGACAAAGACTACGATGAGGTTCCGTAGTGAATAAAACATGATTTTATTTACTCACTATTACACACCAATGCATCTGGAAACAAACTTGAAGGTGAACATAGTAACTTGTGCAATAAAATAAAGGTGAAGAAAGCTAAACATCAGACGTCGAGGTAAGCAGTGGGTCAGCATGTGTACTACATATCGAAGCAAACCATCTTAGTCAATGAAGGTTTACAACCTTCTCAATTCACTTGCCCGGTACTCTTCACTTGACGTCAACATTACTCCACTATAAGTGAACAATGTTATAAGGATACCTGTCGTTAGAAACTTGTAACCCCTTACAACAGCCATGTTTCACAGTCGTGTAGTGAGACAAGACGAACTGCAGAGCAGTGTACTCATCCTTTTCTAGATAATCGAATATCACGTCAACGGTGATAGAGATGATACAAAGTTGGCAAATGTTAAATGCACCTTCTGAACAACAAGTATCCCTACATTCAAATAAGCAAGTCAAGATAACAATAACTTAGGTATTGTCTTCTGTTATTCGCCTTTATCCTTTCCTGGGTTAATGCTATATTGTGAAGAAATTTGAAGATTATCATCAGAATTAGAGTGATGTCTA